TATATAGTGGTAATTCGAATTGGAACTTTCGTATAAGATATTTAAATGTGCGGAGTTGGTGTCTACGTTCTCAGAATGATTGTAAGAAATCGTTTCAGAAAGGTATATTAAAAGAATATCTGAATAAAGTTTCATAATCAGGATCGCTTATGTTGGAGAATTAGAATGGCGACTGATTTGAAAGAAGCGCAGGAAACAACTGCTCAGCTTGAGTTGGCAGCTGCAGTTGTCCTTGTTAGTGTTTTTTTTCAAAACTATTTATTCTTTGATGGGTCATTAAAAAATTTGATGGTATTCACTTTCATATCGATAATTTTTCAAAATGCGTCCGTTTTGAAGTTCTTCAAATTGCACATGGGATGATGACTGTGTTCACCATTGTACTGTTTACAGTTGTTAGGAATATTCGCACATTAAATATCACTTCAGCGACTTTTCATTTTCAGTAGAATTTGACCTGTTATGTTAATTATCGCTTCTCTTCATAGCAACCTTTTTGTCCTCACTTTTGTGAGAACGATTTACCTTACGTCACGATGTTGAACAAACACAAAAATCGTTGTTACATTGGCTTGTTGTATACATCTGGATTGAAGTTTTATCCGAGTTGATCCTCAGTGTGCCTAAACTCCAGGCTCAATTTGAGATGACCGGAATTCATAAAATATAACTATTTTCAACATGGAATGAATAAGTGAGAATAGTATCATGAAACTACTGTCGGTGATTTGTGAATAAAACTTGCATGAAAGTCAATCATTCGAGGTGTTGAGTAAGGTCTTAGGAAAATAAGTATTGAGATTCAAACGGATTTCTTCTAAATATTCAATATCTTTATTTTCATTCGAGGCACCACCGTCGCAAGTCTCAAATGAGGAACGTAAAGCAGCTGAACAACTTTTCATTTCTTTGCAGCAGTCAAAACTGTCTCCTCAGATGTGCAAATATGTCCTTGGTAAAATAACTCAGTTGTTTTGTATCATTTAAGAAGTACAAATTAGTGTATTATGAAACAGAATGTTCAAGGAAATTGCAAATTCAGATTCATATTTCATGGTTAACGCATAAATTGCGAAACAAGTGTGACGGGCTTTTTTTTGCGGCGGG